TGGTCCCACCATTTTCTCTGCTCCCTCCACCTTGTTTCTTTGGAATCCCTAAGGTTCTTGTCTGTAATCCTGAAAATACCTGGAAATGGGAATGGGGGAAGGGATGTCAGAAAAGGGAGCAGAAAGAAAAAGTGAATTTTTTTTATTTTCTTGTTAGCATTATTCTGTTCCTTTTTTTAAAAAACACTAAGTATGCATCTTTTTTATTATCAGAAAATATGATAGAACTTTATTAATTTAAGAAAAAATTCACTTAAAAATGACATTTATCATAAACAATCACACTTACCGCATAATGAGTTTTGTACATGCCACTCAAATCAATCTTAATTTCTTCTACATCTTCTACATCTTGTCACATGACAAGATCCTGTTTAGCGAATCAGTTATCAAGGTTTACAAATCTACTAATATGGTATAACCAAGTAGGCTTTATTTCTGGAATGCAAGAGAGTTGTTCAATGTTGGAAAGCCATTCATTCATTTATTCAACACATTTACTGAGCATGCATTGTTCTTGATGATGTGGTTACAGCAGGGAATAAAAGAGACCTCAGTCTCTAATCTCATGGCTCTCACATTGTAGTCAGAGAGACAAACAACAAACAACATAAATAAACAAAATATATAGTATATTGTTAATGATACCTACTAAAAAGAGAAAAATTAAAGGCAAGAAAGAAAGATATGAAAAGTTCAGATGGGTTGAACATTTAGATAGTGTGACTTGAGAAGGAATCACTAGGAAGGTAACCTTTGAGTAAAGACCTGAATTCAATGAGGAATCTAAGTATGGTGATATTTTGGGTAAGAATATCCTAGGCAGGAGAGCAAGGAAAAGAAAATGCTCTGTGAAGGCAACAAGCCCTGTATATTCCAAGAACATCAAGGAAATAAGGATGGCTGAGCTAGAGAGAGAATAACAGAAGATGAAGCAAAGAGATAATAAGGCTGAAGAGAGTAAGATTCTATAAGTTAGAGTAAGCACACTTGCATTTAAACAACTGGGGAGGTGGAGGTGGGGGAAGAGTAGAGTTTGAACTTGAGGGATCTGTTGAGAATAGACTATACAGAGACTAGAGTGGCAGGGAACCCAGTCAATCGAAATAATTCATTGCAACAACAAACCAAAGAAGAAAAGAAATCTTTCAATTAAAGTATTTGATAAACTTAGCCATTTCTGAATATTTTAAAAGTGTTACCAAAATAGGAATAGGAGGAAACTAAGTTTATGCAGTAAAGAATTATATATAATTTAACAAATCATTCTTGGTTATATTAAATCAGATATAAAAGAAAATACCCTTATCCTGATAAAGAATATATCAGAGGAACTTCTGACCTGGCAGATTCCTCATTCCTTATGGGCTACCAAGACCACAGAACTCATGACTTGGCTCCACTCAGTGACATTATTTCTTTGTATTGCCTTTTTTTTTCAGTACTTGTAAACATAAGTGAAAATAACCTTGGAAAAGGGAGAGAATGACCCTGGTAAATACAACTCCTTATTGACAATGTATCCTATTTCCTGTCTTTCCAGTTATGTCCTTCTCTCCCTAACCAGTATCACATTTTGCTTTTTGCCATTGAGAACCTTGTGGGGGGCACTTCAGGTAGTAAGGCCATAAGTAATTTGTCTTTTCCTAATCTATCTTTTTCTGCATGTTTACAATGAGCAAGTATTTTCATAATCAGAAACTATCAGAAACTTGGAACTCAATGATGCAATTATTTAATGCATGGAGAAAAGCTTGGATATGAAAACATCAATATGTGGCAATCTCTACATGGAAGTTTTATGGGGAATAATAATTTCTGTCTCTATTTTTTTGTATTTTTCAAATGTTCTATGAGGCTTTAGTAATTTAATTTTATGGCAAATTTGTCAACCTGAAAAATTTTGTAAGAGCTCTCCTCGCTCATTAAAATATTTCTTCATACATGTTAAAAAAAAGAAAAATTAAAAAAGAGAGACTATGTCAGAAACAGCAAAAGTTACACTAAATGATGAAACAAAAGAGGCATTCCCATTTTCTTCAAGAATAAGATCAGGAAGCTCTCAGGCACTGCATTACTCAACATAGTTCTGAAGGTTCTGATCAATGTAACACATGCAGAAAAGAAAAGAAAAAAGGTGTAAGTATTGGAAAGGGAGAAATGGGGAAAAAAATCATCATTTGCAGATGATCATGTATAAATACCTGGAAAAACCAAAGTATCACGTGAAAACTATTGGAATTAATAAGATAGATCACAAAAATTGGCAGATACAAATAATACATACATAATAATAGTAGATTACATATATATAAATATATACATAAATACATATAATAGTAGAACATGTTCCTTAAGCAGAAAATTCCCTATCAGAAATTATAACTGGAGAAAGAATAGCATTTCAGGAACAAAGACTACTAAACACCTAGGAAAAACCTAACAAGTAATAGGAATTACTTAGCTGAAGAAAATTATGAAATTTGATTAACAAACATAAAAATAGATCTGTACAAGATAGAGACATACCATATTCCTGGAGGGGAAGCCTCAATTTTAAGATGTTAATGTTCTTTGAATTAATTTGCAGACTTACTACAATTACAATACAAATTCCAAATGCTTATTATGTGTTTACTGTTGCTCAATCCGGAACTTGATTAATAACCACAAATGCACCTACTGATATGTGCATAAAAAGGACAATAGAAATTGTTAGCAGTGGCTGAGAACAGAAACGATATTGCAGAGCTCTTTCTCTGTATACTTCATATATTTCTTTATTATTCTGAATATCTTAAACCATTAATATGTTACCTTTGTTCACCAGAAAAGAAAAAAACAAGAGTTTCCGAATCTGGATTATTATATGTAACACTCTCTAGGCCATTGTACCAGTTCTTAATATTTAGGGGAGCAAAGCCCCTTTCAGAAACTGATGAGGTCAGTGAACTGTATCCCCCCCAAAAAAATGCACTTAACCACTCATACATTCAAAAACAAAGCCTTGTGTTCAATTTCAGGTACAGCACAGAGGTGGTCAGTTGAGAAACCCCACTCTAGGTTAATAGGTATGGTCAGTGGGGAGACTCCCTGCGGTCCCGGCACACATTTGGCTGAGGGGGCAGCAAAGTGGGTGTGGGCTGCAGACAGTGACCCTGCAGCAAGACCAGGTTCTCCCTGGGTGCCCTGTGGCAAGGAGGCCAGAGGTAAGAGGCCCAGCTGGCTGCACCCCTCCAGCCAGGTGGTAGCAGCAGTGTTAAGGAGCCCTGTTAACTAAGGCACCAGGAGAGAGGGCAGAGCAGGCCGATCTGGGTGCGTCTGCCAGCCAGCAATCACTTCTTTTTCATGGGAACCCACAGCTGCAGGGCTCTGTGGGAGCAGCAGTCCCTCCTAGGCATCCCTGAGTTACACCTGTGGGAATTTGGGGGAGGGAGGGAGAAAGGGAAGAAGCCAAAGACAGTTACTCAAGTTGGTCCCCTGAGTAAAGGTGGTATTTACCACCTTGGTCACCAGTCCCTGTGTACTTTTAGAGCCAGAGATAGAGTCAAGTGGCTGAATGCAGGGAATGAAGGCTCAGGAATATGAGAGGAGGTAGAGGGTCAGCACCTTCCCCACCCTTGACAAAATAGGGGGAATTTGGCCATCTCTGCATCCCTCACTTTGTCCTTTCCTCAGCCGAACAGCTCTTCCTTTTGCCCAGAGCTGAATCATGAAAGTGGAACCTAATCCTGGGACAGGTGTTCAAAACTGTCATGGTTACAGCCATCAAATTACAGGAGGTTCACACAGCAGTCAGCAATGGTTTGGGAACATTAAATAAATGTTTCTCTAACAGAACAAGACAGGATCATTTATTTATCCAACTGAAAAGCTGTCCCAGAAGGAGAAAAAGTAGGATATTATTTGTCCAAAATAAATAAGACTGGACAACCTAACATCTCTCCATGGATCAATTTACAGATCACATTAGAACATACTTATCTAGTTGAGGAAAATTCCATTTTTAGATGTTCAAATCCCTTAACATGTTTTGAAAACTATTTCCTATGTGGTCAATAGAATTCATTTTCTGTGTGGTAAAAATTAACCAAAATTAATGGTGCCTTCAAATATTAGTGGGAAATCTCTATAAATCATGCAGCTCTTTTTTGTTGCTGCTTCCCACACTGTGGTATTTTCTTACTGTATTAATAAAGGGTGGTGATCGCTTTAAAAACAAATCGGAGGAATGTTACAAAAATACAGACCCCATTCCCATTCCTTGTCTCCTTTCTGACACTCTGCCTCTTACTTATACTGGAACATGCGCCCGACTGCAAGGGAAACGGTGGCACCAGTGGATGGGGGATTGAAAGTGGAGCGAGGAGAGAGTGTCCAGTTGCCTACGAAGAAATGAAACAATTCCCCAACACACAACACACACAAGTAAATCTTGCCAGTAGCCCTCCAAGAAGATGCATCCCATCCCCGGTATCTAGAAAAAGGCAAATTCTAACACAGGGAGAAGGGGCTACTTTTGGCCCCTGGGACTACAAAGACAAAAAAAAAAAAAAAGAGTGACAGGACCTGATGTGGTGGGGTGAGGTAGGAGGGGGGCTAAAGGAGGGGGCTCATGCTCTCGGTAGGAGTGGAAATTGGGGACCCACGCTCACTGGCGATGCAGCCCTCACGTGACCAGGAGCTGACGTGGGCAAAGGTACTTAAAGCCCTGCCGGCCGTCCTCCGTCCTCCTCTGGGTACCAACTCTCTTGCGCCGCGCACTGCCGTGCGTTTAACCCAGGCGAGGAGGAGGAGGAGAAAATTCCCCCAGATCCGGGCAGGTGGGTGTGAGGGTGGGCATAGCCTGGCACTCCTGAAAGGGGTAGCTCAGAGAGGCGGGCGTCTGAGGCCGCGGGTGCCTCTGCCTCGCCCGCTCCTGGCCAGCTTTCCCGATCCCCGCGCTCAGTCGCAGCTCATTTTGGTGGGCGGCGGGGAGAGGGGGAGGGGGGAACCTAAAGACTGATATACTTGCGGAGAATCCGCTTACTTCCTCTCCCAATGTTTTCTGGTTTTGTGTTTGACACTTCGGCCCCGCACCCCCACATCCTGTCCTGTTTTGAGAGGAGGAGGAAGAGAAATAAACGTGGCAGCGCATATAAGGCCAGCGGGGTGGTTGGGCAAGGGTGACCGGAGGGGACGCAATTGGAAACAAGCCGGCCTGGCCCGTTCACTCTCACCCTCACTTTGCAGATACCTCCCCCGACTACGCCCTCCACTTTCCACTCCCCCGCCCCCCGGCCGGCCCCCGGTCCTTTGGGGGTGCTGGAAAATGGGTGTGCCAGCCTCTGTAGGGGAGATGGCGGGTTTGGCGCTGTCTGGACTTCACGGGAAGGGGGGACCCTAAGAGAATCTGGTATTAAACCGCTGTGCTAACTCCCAGACTGCTTTCCAGACACCTCCAACCCACACAGCCCTTCACCCCCGTTTATTGAGTCCTGGAAAGGGAGTTCTGGTACGCTGGCGTGAGGCATGGCGGTTATTAGGGAATTTGGGTGGGGGGTGGGAGGCGGAGCCCAGAACGGAGAAACAGTGGAAAATCACGACCCTCAAACCGAAAGGTCAGACATCGGGGCCTCTGATCTGCAGGCTTATGCTACGTCGGGGGGCTGGGGACTGAAGGACGGGTGATCATGGGAGGAAGACACTAGATTGTTTGGCAGTAATCCCTCATCCCGCGTCCCATCCAGTTTTTGCTGCACCCTCGCCCCGCCCCCTCCCGCTTGGGTGCAGGAGAAGGGGTGTGGCTGTGTGTCCCGGAGAAATGGCGGACGGGTGGGGCGGGCAAAAGGAAGGAGTGGTTGAGTGCCTGGGGAGTCTGCGCAGGAGGGAGGAGATTGGTGTGGGATGGGAGGGGTAAGAAGAGTTGAGGGAATTGAGAGGTTGTCACTCTACGCTACGCGAATGCTAGAAGGCAATTATGGGGACTTGTGGCCTGGGTCTCCAAACACCGGGCTCAGTCTCCAACCTCTGGTGTCTGTATTTCTGCCCTTCAGTCTGTCCTTAGGATGAAGCTTTCACTGAACTGAACGAAGAGGAAACAGCCCTGAATCCCTGGAGGTCAGTGTGGAGGGTGGGAATTGTCTGGGAACCCCTGGAGTGGGTATGGGGGAAACCAGAGCAGAGCCTGGGGCCAGAGGCTTCTCTTCCCCCCATCTTTTCCCTCTGTAGGGAGACACCCTTGCCTTGGGCCTGTATTCTTTTGGTGCAGAGAAAGGGGTGTGGCATCTGCCTTCTTAATTAATGGTTTGACGAGGAAGGGTTAAGGAAGGGAAGAGGATCCCTGAGACAGAAAACTTCACCCACAAGGATTCAAATCAGCACAGGAAATGGAATCCATCTACCAACGACCCCAAAACACCCTTTCTGGGCTCTCTCTGCAGGTCTGCCTGAATTTGAGGCCCTGCACAAGTACAAGCTTGGTGGAAAAAAGTAAACTGCCCGTGTTCCCAGCAGGTTGGTATGTGCATGAGCACCATCTGGGAATCCTTGGGCATGACTGAGGGGGGAATCAGCAGCATCTGGGGTCTCTACTGTTTTTCTGCTCTCCACCAGCTTTCGTAGTGTCCATACTGCCTCTCATCCCCCATTTAGGTGCTGGGAAATTGTGTGTTGGCATTGGGTAGGGCCAGCTAGGGATGAAGGTGTAGGAAACCTTAGACAACCTGGGTCCTATGTCTGGGTGCTACCCCACGCACCAAGCATTATGTTTCCAAGCTCTCCCCTGTGTAGGCTTGGTTAAGCACAAAGTGAGCCGGAGCCTTAAGTTTCATTTCTGTCCTTTGTCCCAGGTCCTGCTCTGCTTGCAGCCTGGGGAAAACCTGTGAGCCTGAGAGGAAGTGCCTCGCCCAGACGTGCACACATCCCATTTAGGAAAGCCAGTTCCACACCCTGGATCAGAGAATTACTACAGCTGCACTATGAGCCGAGTTCGAGATGCTGGCTGTGTCGCCGCCGGGATAGTGATTGGGGCTAGTGCCTGGTACTGTGTCTACAAATATGCCAGGGGAAGAAACCAGACAAAGAAGAGAATGGCCAAGCCCAAGACAAGGGCTGTGGCTGGGAATGGAGCCAGGGCTAGAGCCGGACCAAGGGCCGGATTCACAATTGACCTTGGGCCTGGATTAGGTCCTCCAACCCCAGTCCGCACTCGGACAGAGGACAGGGCCCAGGATGAAGCCTCTGCTCTGGAAGCAGCTGGAGATGAGGCAGTGGCCCCAGCTGCAGCCAGCGCTGAGGCTCAGAGTGGGGCAGGAAATCAGGTCCAGGAGACAGAAGGGACAAGGGTTGGGTCTAAGGCTGAACCAGTAGCAAGGGCCACAGCGCCTTCCTCAATGGCACCACCCCCCGGGGAGGCAGAGGCTTCCGTGGCTGCAGAGGCCCCCACAGTGGCAAGGGCTCCCAAGTCGCCAGAAGCCCCTGGCACAGCAGAGGCTGCCGGGCTGCCCATGGTGCCTCCCAGGGCGCCAGCGCCTACCGAGGCAGCAGCATCTACAGAGGCTGCGGAGGCTCCTGTACCCACAATGCCTCCTGCCGCACCAGTGCCTTCTGGGGCAACAGTGCCTACTGGGGCTGCGGAGGCTCCTGGGACTTCAGGATACCCCAGAACAGCAGCACCCTCCAAGAAAGCAACGCCTGGGGCTCATACCGGCGCTATACCGAAGGCCGGGTCAGTGGCTGGAGCTGTACCCAAAGGTGGAGCCAAGGGAACCAGGTCTCGGACTGGGGGTAAGGGCAAGGGCAAGAAAAACAAGGTGGAAGTAGATGAACTGGGGCTGGGCTTCCGCCCTGGGGATGGGGCTGCGGCAGCTGCTGCAGCCTCCGCTAACGGGGGACAGGCTTTCCTGGCAGAGGTCCCTGATTCTGAGGAAGGGGAGTCCGGGTGGACTGACACAGAGTCCGAGTCAGACTCTGAGCCTGAAACCCAGCAGAGAGGGAGAGGGGGGAGGAGACCTGTTCCCATGCAGAAGCGCCCCTTTCCTTATGAAATAGATGAGATTCTCGGTGTCCGAGACCTCAGGAAAGTCCTTGCTTTGCTTCAGAAATCTGATGATCCTTTCATCCAACAGGTAGCTTTGCTCACTCTGAGCAACAATGCCAATTATTCATGCAACCAAGACACAATTCGCAAATTGGGAGGCCTCCCAATTATTGCAAATATGATCAACAAAACCGATCCCCACATTAAGGAAAAAGCCTTAATGGCCATGAATAACCTGAGTGAGAACTATGAAAATCAGGGCCGACTTCAGGTATACATGAATAAAGTAATGGATGATATCATGGCCTCTAACTTGAACTCAGCAGTACAGGTAGTCGGACTAAAATTTTTAACAAACATGACAATTACCAATGACTACCAGCACCTGCTTGTCAACTCCATTGCAAACTTTTTCCGTTTGTTATCTCAGGGAGGTGGAAAAATCAAGGTTGAGATTTTGAAAATACTTTCAAATTTTGCTGAAAATCCAGATATGTTAAAAAAACTGCTTAGCACCCAAGTGCCATCATCCTTTAGTTCCCTTTATAATTCTTATGTGGAATCAGAAATTCTTATTAATGCCCTTACTCTGTTTGAGATCATCTATGACAATCTCAGAGCAGAAGTATTCAACTACAGAGAATTCAATAAAGGTTCCCTTTTTTACTTATGCACTACATCTGGAGTGTGCGTTAAGAAAATTCGAGCCTTAGCCGATCACCATGACCTCTTGGTGAAAGTGAAAGTTATAAAACTAGTGGACAAATTCTGATTGGCTATGTGCTCTCAAAAGACTTGAAGAAATTTCTTGATTTTCCAGTCTGGAAGCAATGAAAATTGAAAGTTATTGCTTTTCCACTTGTCCATGTACTAAAGGGATCCTTTCAGCTGCCAGTTTTGAATAATGTATCATCCAGAATGATGTTATCTGTGACAGTCTCCAGCTTGAAGCTGAACCATTTTATGAATACCAAATAAATAGTCCTCTTGTACTGAAAACGCATTTGTGACTTTAATCGTGCTGCTTGAATGGAAATATTTTTACTGGTTCCTCTATGTGAATTGACAGTGAACCTGTCCATCATAAATAGCCTACACTTCTGTCATTTGTTTTGACTTGAATTTATCCACCAAAGACTTCATTTGTGTATCATCAATAAAGTTGTATGTTTTGACTGACAAAAAAAAAATGTTCTCATGTTTTTAAATCTAGCTGGTGAGATAAGGCACATAAATGCAAAAGGATAACTAATAGCACCTGGGCAATGTTCATAGTCAGATATGTGCTGTCTGGTTAAATGACGAAGTTGCTAGAAAGCTTTAAACTCTGAAAGGACAGCATGAGAAAACACAGAAGAGCATTTCAGGTGAGGAAAATAGTTTGAAGATAGTCATGAGGTGGGAAATCTGTTCCTATGATAAGAAGGTAACCAATTTGCCTGAAATGGAAGCTGTGGGAAAAGAAGTGATGAGAGAAAAGGGTGGAAATCAAGGGTGAGGAAATTTGGGAGGAGATCCCAAACCCATAGCTGAGATTGAAATACCCTGTCATATCCTGGGATTTACTAGACATTTTTGACAAAGGGAAAAATAATCTGGTGGCAGTGTGCAAAATGGATTGGAGCTGGGATGTGGTTAGGCATCAAGACTGGAAATGAGGGGCACCTGGTTGACTCAGGTGGTTCAGCATCTGCCTTCAGCTCAGGTCACGATCCCAGGATCCTGGGATTGAGCCCCTAATCGAATTGGGCTCCCTGCTCAGTGGGGAGCCTGCTTATCCCACACCCCACCCCACCTTCACCCTCCACTCATGCTCTCTCTCATAAATAAATAAAACCTTTTTTTAAAAAGACTGGGATGAGAATGTTGTTAAAAGTTATGATAAACCAAAAATGAGATGGTAAAGGATAAAATAAGATGGTAGTCACCACCTTATAAGAATTGTCAAGGAATGGTGGGAAAAACAGATGCTTACCAAAAAAAGAAAAAGACCAAGGTCTGCTGCCTGACTTGGCTGTAGGCTGACAAAGATGGAGAACTGTACGAGCTGGTGCAGGTCCTAACAAAGAAAGCCCTTTTTCTTGGGCAGTTCTGGTGACCATGAAATGCCAAAATGAGTTACCATTTCTAATGATGAGACAAAGCATTGTGACAGAGAAGAATTCAGTGCAAAGAGTGTTTTTTTCCCTAGGGTTAGAGATCTAGCTCTGTCTTCTCTTAGAAGAGGGGGAGTGGTGAAGCCTTTATGGGAAGCCCACCCTCACCCTTAAATTCATGTAAGAGCAGATGCATCTTCTTTGTTCTCCTCCCTGACCCACCAAAGCAATGAAACTAGAAAATGGGGAAGGTCCCAGAGATTCTTCAAACCCAGCCTGCTTTCCTGACACCCCTCACAGAACAATCATTCTTGAGGCAAAGATAGAGATAAGGACTCCTGGGAGGGGGTTACATAGAAAAGGGACAGATGGGTATTATATATTGGTACAATTTATCTGGAAGGCAATTTGGTAATCTGCATAAGAAGCTATAAAGATGTTAGGAGAAAACAGGCAGCAATCTCTTTGACCTGGGCCACAGCAACTCCTTACTAGACATATCTCAGGAGGCAAGGGAAACAAAAGCAAAAATGAACTACTGGGACTTTGTCAAGATAAGGAAACAATCAACAAAACTGAAGGACAACCTATGGAATGGGAGAAGATATTTGCAAATGACATACCTGATAAAGGGTTAGTAAAGCACTTATCAAACTTAACACCCCCAAAATAAATAGCCCAGTTAAGAAATAGGCAGAAGACATGAATAGACATTTTTTTTTCAAAGAAGACATGCAGATGGCCAAAACACATATGAAAAGATGCTCAACATCATTTATCATCAAGGAAATACAAATAAAAACCACAATAAGATACCACCTCACACCTGTCAGAATGGTTAAAATTAACAACACAGGAAAAAACAGATGTTGGAAAGGATGAAGAGAAAGGGGAACTCTCTTCCACTGTTGGTGGGAAAGCAACCTGGAGCAGCCACTCTGGAAAAACAGTATGGAAGTTCCTTAAAAAGTTAAAAATAAAGCCACCCTATGACCCAGCAATTGCAGTACTAGGTACTTACCGAAAGAATACAAAAATACTGATCTGGAGGGTTACGTGAACCCTGATGTTTGTAGCAGCATTATCTACAATAGCTAACTATGGAAAGAGCCCAAATGTCCATCGACACTGATGAATGGATAAAGAAGAAAGTATATATATATATATATATATATATATTGTATATATACACACACACGTACAATATTACTTAACCATCAAAAAGCATGAAATCTTGTCATTTGCAATGATGTGGATGGAGCTAGACCATATTATGCTAAATGAAATACGTCAGTCAGAGAAAAACAAATACCATATGATTTCACTCATATGTGGAATTTAAGAAACAAACCAGATGAACATAGGGGGAGAAAAAGAGGCAAACCATAAAACAGGTTCTTAATGATAAAGAACAAACCTGGGGGTTGATAGAGGGAGGTGGCAGGGGATGGGCTAAATGGGGACAGGTATTAAGGAGAGCATATTTTGTGTTTAGCACTGGGTGTTATGTATAAGTGATGAATCACTAAATCCTACACCTAAAACCAATTTACCATATATGCTAACTAACTAGAATCTAAATAAAAACTTGAAATCAAACCAAAAAAAAAAGAAGGAAAAAAGTTATAAAGATGTACTTACTTTCAGACAAGCATTCCACCTGTAGGATTTTTTTCCTAAGGAAATAATCAAATAATTTTACACAGAGAAATACACAAGGGATGTTCATTTCAGCACTGTTTCTAAGGGGGGGAAATTAGAAACAAATGTCTAACACTGTGGAACTGACTAAACAATAGGCAGTATGTCCATACATTAAAATGTTATGCAACTATTAAAATTTGCAATGTGCTTCTATTTTGTTGGCATGACAAAACTTTCACCATATATAAGAGTGTGGCATCAGTCTATAAAACGCTCCTGCAACTGAAAGTCAGGTAAATTCTTTCAGATGTTCATATCATCTCTGTGTATTTCTTACACAGAATCAGAATCATATCATACATCAGAGGTTCTCAGCATATTCACAAACCATTGCAGATCCGCATATTCACAAACCATTGCAGATCCCTGGAAAGGTAAGGTCAAAATTATTTTCAAAACAATTTAACATGGTATTTGCTATTTTTCACTGGGTTGACATTTACATTAATGCTGCAAAAGTCATGGTGGGTAAAACTGCTGGAGCCTTAGCTTAGCCAAACTGTACCAGAAATGATTGACTTTTTTTACAGCCACACATGCAAAAAGAAATTTAAATCTAGATTCATTTAAAAATGTCATGAAAAGAGTCCTTATTTATAATAAAATTATTATTTTTATTAAATCTCAATTCTTGAGTGCATGCTTTTATTTTCAAAGATTTTTATTTATTTATTAGAAAGAGAGACAGCGAGAGAGGGAACACAAGCAGGGGGAGTGGGAGAGGGAGAAGCAGGCTTCCAGCTGAGCAGGGAGCCCGATGTGGGGCTCCATTCTGGGATCCTGGGATCGTGACCTGATGCTTAACGACTGAGCCACTCAGGTACCCCACTGCATGCTTTTTTAATATTCTGTGTGATAAAATGGGAAGTGTGCACAAAGCACTTCTGCTGCACAACTTAAAACAATGGTTGTCTCGAAAAATACATTTGCATGATCATTTGAGTTATGACCTGAATTGAGTTATCTCGAAAAATACATTAGCATGATCATTTGAGTTATGACATGATCATTTGAGTTTATATAGAGAGCACCATTTTTACTTGGAAGAATGACTGGCAGAAAAACTCTGGTTTTTCAGACTTGGATATTGGGCAGACATTTTCTTAAATGTGAATGTGTGAGGGGCACCTGAGGGGCTCAGTCGGTTAAGTTTCTGACTCTTGATTTTGGCTCAGGTCATAATCTCAGGGTTGTGGGATCAAGGTCTGCATGGGGATCTGCACTCAGTAAGGAGTCTGCTTGAGATTCTCTCTCTCCCTCTCCCTCTGCTCCTCTCCCTTCTCTCTCTCTCCCTGCTCTCTCTCTGTCTCTCTCCCTGCTCTCTCTCTCTCTCTCTCTCTCTCTCTCTGTCCCAAATAAATAAATAAATAAATAAATAAATATTTTTAAAAATGTGTGGACCTTCAAGGAAAACAACTGACTGTATTTGTCACCAACAATAAAACTTTCAAACAAAATCAGAATTTTCAAGGAGTTTCTGAAGAAATCAGTAGTGATACTGATAATGGGGGAAAGGCTTTTTTTTTCTCCCTCTAGAAGAGAAATGATGGAGGACTCCAGGTTTCAATTGGTTGATCTTCCTTGGTTTTACTATGACCAGTGTAATCCATATGACATCAAACCCATGGCCATTTAATAAAGAATATCATTGCTGTAGTAACAAGGTGACCCTGTGTAAGGATAGACCCAAGATTGTTTGAACCCTTAGTAAGGAGAATCTGAAAAGATAGACGTTGGGGAGGGTATGTGCTATGGTGAGAAAATAAATATTTTTTAAAAATTTTAAAAAGGGGCGCCTGGATGGCTCAGTGGGTTAAGACTTTCCTTTTGGCTCAGGTCATGATCCCAGGGTCCTGGGATCGAGCCCCACATGGGGCTCTCTGCTCAGCAGGGAGCCTGCTTCCTACCCCCTCCCTCTGCCTGCCTCTCTGCCTACTTGTGATCTCTCTCTTTCTCTGTCAGATAAATAAATGAAATCTTTAAAAAAAATTGAAAAAAGGATGTCAATCCTGGAACAGTAATGTATTCTTCTGGGTGAGTTAGAGGTGGTGTCTGAGCTCATATACTGAAGATGGGTACATTAGCATCTCTTGGCTCGGTTCCAGCGATTCAGGTAATCCACCCACCTTCATTTGCTCTGATTAACAGTGGAAACTTCCATCCACTTCAGATGAAACCCATTCCTGCACAGAGACATGTAAATCTGGCCTTATGAATAAGCTAAGAATCACACAATAGGAAAATATTTCATTTCCTGAAGTCTGAGGTTTTGCATCTTAAATCACATTCTATGTGAAAGATCAACAGCATAGTCCAGGTGTGGCTGAGTCTTTTTTTTTTTTAAGTTTTTTTTTAAGGTTTTATTTATTTATTTGACCGACAGAG